TAAATAAATAAAATCTTTAAAAAAAAAAAAGGGTAGCTCACTGTGCCCAAACTGTGCCAACAATATGGTTTATGGTGAACACCTGCTTTCTCCTGGGAGTCTAGAATCTTGGTCCATGTCAGGCACAGGGTGCCTATGGCCAGCCGCCAATGAAACCCCCTGGCATTGAGCCTCTAACAAGCTTCCCTGGTAGCTAAGATTTCTCACGTGTTGTCACAACTCATGGCTGGGGAAACTAAGCATGTCCCATGTACTCTGCTGGGAGAGACCTCTGGAGTCTTGACTGGCTTCTGGACTTCACCCTGTCAGCATTTTCTTCTTGCTGACTCTCCTCTATATTCTTTCACTGGATCTCTGGGTGGTCTTGGGGACCCTGACACACCACTCTTTACAAGCAGCACATCTGCAGTCACCTGTTGGGCTGCTCCCATTAGGCAGCATCTCACCTGGACAGTAGCCCTGGCCAATTCCTCTCTCTGCTGCCCATAGCTCAGCCCCTTGCTCCAGCTGGGAGATGACTTCAGGTTTTGGAAGCTCAGGCCCTGGAAAAAGGGAAAGACACAGGATGTGTGGATCTGCTACAGAGAGAAAGAACCAGCTCAGGATCCAGCCCTAGACTCCTGATAGGGCACGAGGATATCTCACAATAAGGTGAAAACTTTGCATTGGGACAGAAAAGGGCAGAAACCCCCCCTGCCCATTTGTTCCACAGGGAATGAGAATGCAAGATCTCTAATCCCCAGCCTAAGGTCAAGTCCTCATACCAGAGGCCCTATGACCTATAACCCATGAAGATAAGTCACGGCAGCAATCTGATCATCAGCTGGGGAAGCAGGCCTTACCCACAGAGAGCAGATGCCCAAAGGTCTCCAACATCACGTCACGATACAGGGTTCTCTGGGCAGGGCCCAGCTGCCCCCACTCTTCCTGGGTGAAGTCCACCGCCACATCCCAGAAGGTCACCGGCTCCTGAAACATCATACACACTCTTGAACAGCTCAACTGTCTGCACCAGTGCTCCCAGGAAGAGGAGGAGGAATGGGGATGCAGAGGACAGGCAGGCCAGTGTCCTGAGAGAGTGCATGTTCTGAGTAATGCGAGTCAGGTCTCACTGGGGGCATGTGAAAGTATCCAAGCAAGATCAAAGCTAACCACAGCTGATCTACAATTGATCTCAGACAGGTGCAGAGACTGCTGACTTGCAGATGTGTGGAATAAAGAAATGGCTACTGGTTTAAGCCACTAAGTTTTGGGATAGTTTCTTACCCAGTAACATCTAACTGATATGCTAAATAATCCTCTGATTCATTCAAACCAAGGCTCATTATCCTCCCTGAAAAGAGTCAGAAACTCACCTACCTTTAGAGACCAGGCAGGCTCATCAGTGACTGAAATGGGCTACTGTAAGAGCCTACAAGGGTACGTAATCTGTGAGAGGTGACACTGAAGGTGATGGGTAACATGTGCCCTGTTTGAAGGGGCAGCTGGGACTCAGAACCAATTGATCATGGGGAAATGCAGAGCTCATATGGTCAGAATTACCAATCTGTAGTGAGTAGCTGGAAATTTGGTCAAATTTTTAAATGAACACTTTAAATTTTTGTAAGTTGATGCAATGTATTTAAAACATATCTCACAAATCAAACCCTTCTGTGGGCTGGGTGTGGCCGCGGTCAAAAGCTAGATATTTCTGGATCCGAGTTTTGACTCTGCCACTTCCTCCTCAAGACGTATACGCAGGTACCCACTTCTACTTCCTTGTTTCCACGTCTACAAAGAATCACTCCTTGGGGGCTGTGATGGGGAATAAGCAGCTGTAAAACACTTTCTACAGGACAACATGCAAAAGAATAAAGTCGGTCCCCTACCTCACAGCATATAAAAAGTTAATTCAAAATGGATAAAAGACAAAATATAAGAGCTAGGACTATTAAACTCTTAGAAGAAAACACAGTGATAAATCTTCACAATCTTGGATTGGCAAAGGATTTTTAGATATGACAGCAAAAGCACAAGCAACGAAATAAAAAATAAATAAGTTGGACTTCATCAAAATTAAAAACTTTTGTGCTCCAAAGGACACTATCAAGAAAGTGAAAAAGGGGCGCCTGGGTGGCTCAGATGGTTAGGCGTCTGCCTTCGGCTCAGGTCATGATCCCAGGGTCCTGGGATCGAGTCCCGCATCGGGCTCCCTGCTAGGCGGGGAGTCTGCTTCTCTCCCTCTGCCTCTGCCTCTCTCTCTCTCTCTGACTTTCATGAATAAATAAAAAAAATTAAAAAAAAAAAAGTGAAAAGACATCCACATACTGGGAGATAACAATAGCAAATCACACATCTGGTAAATGACTTGTATCCAGATAAGACACCTCCTACAACTCAATAATAGCAACAACCCAATTAAAATGGGCAAAGGATCTAAATAGGTATTTCTTCAAAGAAAATATAAAATATACAAATACTGAATAAACACATGAAGAGATGCTCAGCATCATTAGCCACCAGGGAAATGCAAATAAAAATCACTTACTGAATACCTCAATTATAAAAGGGCATTTTCTTTTAAGAAAAACAAAAGTATATTTTAAAATATTAAAGAAATTATAGTATAGGTAGCATATGGCTGACAAAAATTGTGCAGGACGCATGAAGAACCCTTTGGTTAGGAACAGAGGTCTCTGTTCCTGTCCCCATGTCATCACCTCCCAGTCAGAAGGTCCTCAAACCCTGATACATGCTCCCTGTGCCTCCTGCCTCCCCCACTCTGCCCCCTCAACCATCACCCACTCTGCATGGGTTGTCAGTGACAGCCCAGGCACCAGGTGCACTGAGTACTGATCTGTCCAAGCCGTAAGACCTCTCAGTAGCAGCACATGAATCCTTCATGTCTCGTCCTGAAATTCTAGCAGGAGCCCATTCCTTGTCCTTCTAAGGGGAGAGTGGAGGGAGACTTAACTATAGAAGACAAAAGGCAATGTGACCACTAAAGCAAGATGCCATGCTGCCGGCCTTGACAAAGGGCCATTGCCATTAGCCAAGGAACACAAGGTCTACAGCTGTAATAGTTAGAAAAGACAAGAAAACCGATTCTCCCCTAGATCCTCCACAGGAAGGGTGGCTCTGCCCACATCTTGATTTCAGCCCAGTGAAAATGACTTCAGACTTCTTACCCCCAGAACTTTAAGAATAAATGTGCATTGCTTTAAGCCACCAAATCTGTGGTGCTCTGTTATAGCAGCCACAGGAAGCTTACACTGGACCTCAAAACCCTCTACTTCCTTGCCTTGTGTGGTGGCCAGCCTCCAAGACACCTCCCAATGATCCCCAGCCCTTGTGTAGTCGTATAGTCCCCTCCTATTCTGTGCATGTTTGACCTGTGTAACCAACAGGATATTGTACAAATGACAGTGTGTAAATTCTGATCCCAGAGCACAAAAGGCATTGGGGCTTCTACCTTGCCCTCTCCTGGATCACTCACTCTTTGGGAAGCCAGATGCCAAGTTGTGAGGACAGCCAAGCAGCTCCACAGAGAGGCCCACATGGGAAGGAACTATTAAGTGCCATGTGAGAGAGCCATCTTGGAGATGGATCCTCTAGCCCCAGTCAAGTCCCAGATGACAACAGTCCAGACTGACATCTTAATCATAACCTCATGCGCCCAGGCCAGAACCACCAGCTAAATCATTTGAGGACTTCTATCATCAAAAACTGAAGTAATATTTATTGTTGTTTTGGACCACTAAGTTTTGGGTTATTTGTTACACAACAACAGATAACTAATACACTTTCTCTTACTGCTAACAAAGACTCTCTCCTCTGAACCTTCTTCTCAACTAGGTCTTGCCCTCTGGACTTCTGTGTCCATTTTGCATCACCCAGATTCATAAAGAGTTGGTTTAGCCAGAATCCCCACCCACCATATCTGATCACTCTCCATATCTTTTCAAAGTCCTCATCCCCCACAATCCTCCAAATAATATCTGATCACTTGGCCTGCTTCGACAAGAATCCCGTTAGAGTGGTGCCTGGGTGGCTCAGTCGTTAAGCATCTGCCTTCAGCTCGGGTCATGATCCCGGTCTCCTTGCTCTGTGGGAGGCCTGCTTCTTCCTCTCCCACTCCCCCTGCTTGTGTTCCCTCTCTCACTGTGTCTCTCTCTGTCAAATAAATAAAATCTTAAAAAAAAAAAAAAAAAAGAATCCTGTTAGGTCATGGGGGGCATGGGTGGCTCAGTCAGTTAAGCATCTTACTCTTGGTTTCAGCTCAGGTCATGATATCAGCCCTACATTGGGCTCCGTGCTCAGCGTGGAGTCTGCTGGAGATTCTCTCCCCAACCCCTGCCCCGCTCATGTGCTTCTAAATTAAATAAAATCTTAAAAATAATAGTAACAGTAACAATAATAATAATAAAGGATCCTGTTAGGTCAGTTTAGCAAGAATTACACCCACCCCCGACCCCAGGTATAAATTCCCACCTTTACTTGTATTTGGAATCGAGTCCAGTTCCATACTGAAGTCTCTTTCCCCCATTCCAAAAGTTTCTGAATAAAATCTCTTTTGACCGCTTTAATTACTATCCAGCTGTTTTACTTTGACAATGCTCATTCCCGGCCACACCCCAACCACAGCCAAAGCAAAATAAAGGGTGGTTGCACTATTAATGCGCATCTGAAAACATGCAAATCTAAGGTTACCAATAGTCTCATCTGGCATGCTAAATATGAAATAATGCAAATCCTTGTAAACAACAACAGAAGACAGTAAGTGCTGAATTTCAAAGATGTGGCGCTTCAGGAATTATGAATTATTTTTGGTTTCTGCCACGTGGAGACAGCACTTTATGGAGAACACAGGCAGCGGCCCCTTTGCCTAGAAATGCTGGAGCTTTGAATCAGGCACCTTCCCAGATGACCTTGCAAGCACGGACCGCCCAGTGCTGCCGTTCCCCCACAGCCCCCGCGGGGAATGAGGGAGGGGGGCCCGGGTAGTCGCTCCCGCCCCACTAATGCGGTGCGTGGTGACCTGTCCTTACCCCCAGAGGTTGGGCCAGGGGCCTCGCGGAGCAGGGCTCTCGGTGGGTGTTCCATGAATTAAATCGTCTCTACTTGGTTAATACCTGCCATCTCGGCGCTCCACTGACCCCAGTTACGTTTACCCGTCACACAGCAGCTGGCCTTCGGGGCGCGGGGAAGGCTCTCCGCCGAGCCGCGCCAGCCCCGTCCTAGGGCACGCGCCTAAGCCCAGTCCCAGAACCGGGGAGGAGGAGTACCAGCGGACATGCGCACTCGGGGCCAGATGGCCGGGTTCGAGTCCCAGCTCCACCCTTACCAGTCGGGCCAGTCAGCGCGCCCCGACCTGCGCCTCAGTTTCCTCCTGCGTTAAGAGCGATAAGGCCCGGGCCCTGCTCACCGTGCGCTGCGGGAGACGCTCGGCCCGCTGCCATCGTTGTTATTATTATTATTATTGTTACCTGAAGCCACTCCGCTGGCAGCCCCGTAGTCATCGCCAGTGCTGTCGCTTCCTCTTCGGGGTTCATCCAGGACCGACAGGTCGAGGAGAGGAGCCCGAAGCGGCCGTAAACCCGAGAGCAGCCCCGGCCTCAGGGACCACCCCACTCGCCGCCCGCCGGACAATGGCGGCCGCACGGGTGACGCTGCGACTACAACTCCCAGAAGACAGTGCGGCGCGCCGCAGCGCCCGGCCAATGGAAACCTTTGTTCGTCGAGCCTCCCACCAATGAGAGCCTTTTGGCCTCAGGTCAATGGGACCGTCCGTCCGTTGGGCCTCCGGGCACTGGGGGCGCTCCTGCCACAAACCCGGCGAGGAGGTGCTGGGCGGGTGGCGGCGGGTGGCGGCGGGTGGTGACTCTGGGCTGCGGCGCACGCGGGGGTGCTGGGCAACCGGGCGTCTCCGTGCCCGGTGCGCGGGGGGCGGGGGGCGCACGGGCTGCGAAGGAATCCGGGTCATGGGGATCGCCCTCCCAGCCTAGCCGTTGGGGGTTCGCGTCTGCGCGGGGCCGCGGCCCGCAGTCTGCCCTTGCGGCCCCACGTGAAGCTGCCTCTCTGTCCACGCTGGAATGGGGAGCCCTGCTTCGAAACCCGGGCCCGAGCGTCCTAGCTGGCATGCTTTACTCTTTGGAGTATATACTGCCATGGAACTTAGAACCTATTTCTTTCTTTCTTTTTTAAGATTTTATTTAGTTTTTGACAGAGAGACAGCGAGAAAGGGAACACAAGCAGGGGGAGTGGGAGAGGGAGAAGCAGGCTTCCCCTGAGCAGGGAGCCCGATGCGGGACTCGATCCCAGGACCCCGGGATCATGACCTGAGCCGAAGGCAGTCGCTCAACCAACTGAGCCACCCAGGCGCCCCTACCTGTTGTTTTAATTTTGAATTTTCTACTTCTCGTAGTTTTGTTTTCTCCTCGATTATATTATACAGGGTTTGTCTATTGCAATAGTTCTCAGTGTGGGCGAGGAACACCTGGAGTTTCCTGAGCCCCTTCCTCTGAGTTGGTGAGTTCAAAACTAAGTGAAGGGCGCCTGGGTGGCTCAGTTGGTTGTGCGACTGCCTTCAGCTCAGGTCATGATCCTGGAGTCCCGGGATCGAGTCCCGCATCGGGCTCCCTGCTCGGCGGGGAGTCTGCTTCTCCCTCTGACCCTCCCCCCTCTCATGTGCTCTCTCTCTCATTCTCTCTCTCAAATAAATAAATAAAATCTTAAAAAAAAAAAACAAAACTAAGTGCATAATAGTAGGTTCCCCCCCCCCTTCCATTCTCTCACAAATGTACATTAGAGTTTTCTGGAGGCTTCTGGATGAGTAATATTGCAACAGATTGAAAAGTGTTAAAGATAAAACGGTTAAAAACATTTTACTCAGTAACTGCTGACAATAGGGGAAGGCACTGAGCTCCATTTGCATTTGTGCAGAGGTGATTGGACCTTTTAAAGATAATGAGAGAATTAGAAGGGGTAGAGAGCAGGGCTCATGTGGAAAATTATAAAGTGTTGGTCAGTGTAAATATGTTGAAGTCAGCCATGGCGTGGCACCAGCTGGTAATTATCAAAGTTAGGATACTATCTTCCTACAGAGATTGGAGACAGCAGCCCTCTCCTTCCTGATGATACTATTTCAAAGGAATGGCTTTCAGGTCCTTGAGAAAGATCCTTCTGAGTTGTAGGATATACACAGACATCTCAAAGAGATGTCTAAGCTCTTTTTAGTAAATGCAGTAAGAAAGGGAGGTCAGGAGCCTATCCTTGGGTGTTGGCTAGAACAAACAGCAATTTCTCCTGGCAGCATTTCTCAGGGAGGCATTAGGCAGGCATTTTATGGGGAGGCTGTGGACACAGCATTATGCTGCTAGAAGTCTTGTTAGAGTTTGGTTGTCTCTTAATGTAGAGGTTTGGACTGAGTTCTCAATGCTGAGTTCTGCAGTTCTGAAGGGCACAAGCAGCTTTAGAAACCAGCTGCTTTCCATCAAGCCGGACATGAAAGAGATTTGCAAAAATATAATGCAGTGCTACTCTTTTCACTAATATTTATTTGTTTTGGAAAATGTAGTTATTTTCCATAAAGTAGGGTTTTTTTTTTTTCTTAAAGATTTTATTTATTTGAGAGAGAGAGAATGAGAGACAGAGAGCACAAGAGGGAAGAGGGCAGAGGGAGAAGCAGACCCCCTGCTGAGCAGGGAGCCCGATATGGGACTCGATCCCGGGACTCCAGGATCATGACCTGAGCCGAAGGCAGTCGCTTAACCAACTGAGCCACCCAGGCGCCCTGTTTTTTTTTTTAAACAAAACAAAATATTGTATTCATTTGTTAGGGCTGCCATAACAAAGTACCACAAACTGGGCGACTTAAAGAACAGAAATTTATTGTCTCAATTATGGAGATTAGAAGTCCGAGATCAAGGTTTTTATATGGTTTGCTTGTTCAGAGGGCCTGAGAGACTGCTCTATTCCTCTTTTCTCAGCTTCTGGTGGTTTCCTGGCACTCTTTAGCATCCCTTGGCCTGTAGATCTCAGCCTTCATCTTCACGTGACTTCTCCCTGTGTGCATGTCTGTTTCCAATTTTCCTTCCCCTGCTTGTGCTCTCTCTTTCTGTCAAATAAATAAAATCTTAAAAGAAAAAAAAAAGAATCCCAGCTGAGCTCACAGTTGGCAGCCAGCATCAACTGCCAGTTTGTCAGTGCATCATCTTGTTCTGAGCCTTCAAATGAATCCAGCTCCCGTTGTATCTACCTGAAACTGCACTAGAGACCATAAGTGAAACCACCCAGTTGATTCCAACCAACTTATGGAATGGTAAGAAATTAAAGAAAGCATTGTTTTAAACCACTGTTTGGGATGTTTGTTATGTAGTATTAGAAAAGTGAATCTGTGGCTTGTGGATTTTTCTCTCCTAAAAATCTCTCCTGCTCCTTCCTTCCTATTTCCACCCCAAGGACATTAGCTCAGGCTCTCATCATTGTTTTTAAAAATGTAAAAAATATCTTTTTTTTTTTTAACAAGTAATACATTCTCATGGCTTGAAATTCGGAAGGTACAATTGGGTATCTGGTGAGATCTTCCTCTGTCCCTTGACCCCTACCACCAACTTCCCTCCTCATTAGCAACTACTATTTTTAGTTTCTTGGAGGTCTTTCTGTAGATATATTATGCATTCACAAGTAAATATGTATAAATATTTTTTTTAAAGATTTTATTTATTTATTCATGAGAGACAGAGAGAGAGAGAGGCAGAGGGAGAAGCAGGCTCCCAAGGAGCAGGGAGCCTGATGCGGGACTCGATCCCAGAACCCTGGGATCATGACCTGAGCCGAAGGCAGACGCTTAACCATCTGAGCCACCCAGGCGCCCTGTATAAATATTTTTTCACTCTTTTACACACGTGGTGGGCTACCACATATTGAATTTTTCCTTGCTTTTATTCATTTAACAATATTCTGGAAATCTTTCTATACAAGCATGTAAGGCCCTTCCTTATTATTTTTAACAACTTTATTGAGATATTAGTCTCATTTCATCCATTTAAAGTGGGGTCCAATTGGAGCATAGGGAATTTCTGGGGCTGAAAAAATGACTTTCAAGTTAAGAACCTTTGTGGAATGGAGGAGGGTGTCTGTAGAGAACCACAGAAGAAATAGCTCATGACAAGGGCGCCTGGGTGGCTCAGTCGTTAAGCGTCTGCCTTCGGCTCAGGTCATGATCCCAGGATTCTGGGATTGAGCCCCGCATCGGGCTCCCTGATCCGCGGGAAGCCTGCTTCTCCCTCTCCCACTCCCCCTGTTTGTGTTCCCTCTCTCGCTGTGTCTCTGTCAAATAAATAAAATCTTAAAAAAAGAAAAAAAAAAAGAAATAGCTCATGACAGGACAAAAATATAAAGAAATGAGAATCTTGATGGAAAAGATAATAGCCCAGGGGCACCTGGGTGGCTCAGTTGGTTAAGGGTCTGCCTTTGGCTCAGGTCATGATCTCAGGGTCCTGGGATCGTGAGCCCTGTGTTGGGCTCCCTACACTGTGGGGAGTCTGCTTCTCCCTCTGCCCCTCCCCTTCCCACTTGTGCTCTCTCTCATATAAATAAAATCTCTAAAAAAAAAAAGATAATAGTCCTAGTAGACAGATCCAGAAGACCTCATGGATGAATAATGGGGACTCCGGATGGAGAAAGAGGGACAGAGAGAGAAGCTAATGATCAAGACACCCACTGAGGAAAGTTTTCTGATGTGAAAAACTTGTCAGGACACAGAAAGCTCACCAAGCTCTTGACAGGAATAATGTATTAAACTGTTTGAAAACCTAGTCACAAATGTGTGTGTGTGTGTGTTTTATGGGTGTGTGAATATAACTATTGTGACCGTTATGTCAAGCTTGTTAATCATCATTTCACAGCAAATCAGTTATCTACTTAGCCATTTTTTTATGAGAGAATATATTAAAGTTTCCCAAATGACTAGATTTATCCATTTTCCTGGTTTCTACCATTTTTTTTCAGTTGGACTATTTCTAAAGGTTCATGGTCATTTATTTATTTATTTTTTAAGATTTTATTTATTCATTTGACAGAGATACAGCGAGAGAGGGAACACAAGCAGGGGGAGTGGGAGAGGGAGAAGCAGGCTTCCTGCGGAGCTGGGAGCCCGATGCGGGGCTCGATCCCCAGACCCTGGGATCATGACCTGAGCCGAAGGCAGACGCCTAACGTCTGAGCCACCCAGGCGCCCTGGTTCATGATCATTTAAAATCTTTGTATATTTTAACTTTACTAACATAAATTAACCCCCTGCAGAACAGGTTATTGAATCAAGCGGTCTGAAACCCTGTAATGCTCTTCATATCCCAGTGTCTTTCCAGAAACTATACCCCTCGACACTTCTCCATCAGTGCATCTTCCTCACCAACCCCTGATATATGGGCTTTACAATTTTAAAAGAATCCTTGCAAAGCCAGTGGGCATGGAACAGTGACTAGTCTTTTAAATTTGCATTTCCCTAGGTTAGATCTCTATACCTACTGCTAGGCTATGTTTGAATCATTTCTTCTAAGCACTTTGGATTGTCTGAGCTTTACTTTTACCAGCTAATTTCAGACCATTTGCTTACCTTACCATGTGGTCATTATGTGTTAGTTCATC